TTTTAATAACCGACAAATGTGTGAATGGGCCCGATGGACCCCCTCTGGGGAAGCTGTAGTGGTGAACTTACACGTGTAGCCTCGGACCTGAGGAGCTGTTATAGCGAAGCCACCTGTGAAAATGTCTAGCTAACATGGCCACATGTCAGCTAGGATCCACGCGCGTGGCTTTCCTGCGCAGCTGGCGGTCTTCCGTGGCGGATGAAATCTTCATTAATTTCGAAAATTTTCTGTTATAGTAATAATTAAGTTAAAATATCAGTTTTAGTCCGCTAATTTTTAAATTGATATTAAAATTGTTCTTTAATTTTAAAAAATATCAAAATTATCCTTAATTTTTAATTTTTTTTTATAAAAAATAACATTTTTATAAACAGAAATACCAGGTAACTTATTATCTTGTCATAAGTTTAGTTCTTTTTTAAAATACTAATGATGTATAAAATCAAATAATTATATGTTACCATAATAATATTTTTATTTATATATAAAAATTATATTAAAAATAATATTAAAAAATTATCTTATAACATCATATATGGTAATTATATCGTTTCGGTAAAAGAGTTCTTGTGCTGGTGATTACGTGTCATGATGTTATTGGTTGGATTAAAATTATGTTTGACTTTGAATAGTCTTTTTCTCTTTCTCCGGCTAATGGACAGGAGGAACAACTGTCACTAAAAAAAGACAAAAAAACCAACTATAAAACTCTTTCCTTTTTAACCAAGACGGGTGGCAGTAAACAATCAAAAGCCGACGCATTTAGCTCGGGTCGTCGCCGTTATTACCAAGCACAGTTTGTTCTCTTCCACCGACAATGGTGGAACAACCTCCCCACAATTTTTCAGTTTTTAATATTACTTCTGAAAATGATTCTTTCTTTTAGAAAATCGCTGTGAAGACAGACACAGAGAAAAGAGTTCTGTCCAAAAAGGCGAGCTCAGTAATCAGTTTGATGGATTAACTTTCTTTTCCTTAACACCAAATCTCCCCTCCCATGGCGTCCAGGACCCAAATCCCACTCTTCTTCTTCTTCCTCCTCCTCTTGATTACTAATTCTGTATGTTCCCAGAGAATACACTCTGATGATTCGTTAGACCCGGTAGCGGACTGCAGCGGGCGTTGGATCTACATCAGAAACCTCCCGTCGCGTTTCAATCTTGATCTTCTTGCAAATTGTTCTGAATACCCACTTTTTGACAACTTCTGCCCTTATTTGGCCAACCATGGCCTTGGCCATAAGACCCACAACAAATCCCATAGCTGGTACCGCACCGACTCTTTGATGCTGGAACTCATCTTTCATAGGAGGATCCTTGAATACCCATGTCTCACCAGCGATCGGAATCTGGCGAATGCGATTTACCTCCCTTACTACGCTGCTATTGATGCGTTGAGGTATTTGTACGGTCCTGATGTGAATTCCAGTATGGAACATGGCGTTCAGTTGTTTGAATTCTTGCAGTCTGATGCGCCAGAGATATGGGAACGCCATATGGGGCACGACCATTTCTTGGTCATGGCTAGACCCGCCTGGGATTTCTCCCAACCATTGGAGAATGACCCTCCGATATGGGGTACTTCATTTCTTGAATTGTCGGAGTTCTACAATGTAACCGCTCTGGTGCCGGAGGCGAGACCCTGGCCGTGGCAGGAGCATGGTGTGCCTTACCCCACATCGTTTCATCCTCCAAATTTAGCGTTCTTTGAAGCTTGGATTCAACGCGTGAGGAGGTCCAAGAGGAACACTTTGATGCTGTTCGCTGGTGGTGGTGGGGTTTCTGCCTCACCTAATATCAGGAGGAGCATTAGGAACGAATGCGAGAATAATAGCAGCAGCAGCAGCAGCATTCACTCCCTAGAAAATATTGGTGAGTACTCAAAAATTTGCGAGATAGTGGATTGCTCTAATGGGATTTGCGAGCATGACCCATTAAGGTACATGAAGCCTATGCTTCAAGCAACCTTCTGCTTGCAGCCTCCCGGAGATACTCCTACTAGGAGGTCGACTTTCGATTCCATCATTGCAGGTTGCATACCAGTTTTCTTTGAGGAATTGTCAGCCAAAACACAGTATGGATGGCATATGCCGGAGGAGCAGTATGAGGAGTTCTCAGTGTTCATACCAAAGGAGGAAGTAGTGTTCAAGGGACTTAAGATTCTCGATGTGTT